CCTATCAACAATGGAAAAAGGATTTCTTTTTTCCCAGTGTTGTCAGCATTTGCTATTGGTTGTTTTTGATAATAGCCATTCTTTCTGGAGTGAGATAGAATCTCACTGTTGTTTTAATTTGCATTTCTGGAATGACCTGTGATGAACATTTTTTCGTATTTCTTTTGCCATTTGTACTTCCTCATCTGAGAAATATTTAGTTATTTCAGATGCCCATTTTGGATTGAATCTTTAAATTTGAGGGTTCTGACTTCTGAATTCTTTATATATTCTAGATATTAGTCCTTTATCTGAGGAATAGCTGGTGAATTTTTGTTTCTCATTCTTTGGATTGTCTCTTCACTCTATTGATGGTTTCTGCGCAAAAACTTTAAAATGATGTGATTCCAGTTGTTGATTCCTTTTAAGATTTCCTATGTGATCAGAGTTTTGTTCATAAAGTCTTTGCATACATCTATATCTTCAAGAGTTTTGTCTGTTCTATTTCCCAGCAGATTATTTCTCGCTTAATGTTTAGATCTCTTACCCATTTTGATTTCAGTTTAATGCATGGTGAGAAATATGATGTTGGCTTAATCTTTGGCATATGGAGAGCACTTTGTATGGTGTTCTGAAGTTTTGTCCATGTAGAAGCATGTGACAGAATTTATTTCTTTACTTTTTTTTTTTCTTTCTTTTTTTTTGGTACCAAGAATCAAGCTCAGGATCTCATGCTTGTCAGGCAGGTGCTGTACTCTGAGCTCCATCCCTGGCCTGATTTCTTGTTTTTTGAAAGCCAATAATTCATCACACATATGCATACATTTATTTATTTCTTTATTCATTCACTTGTTCATTCAGTAGAGGGGCTGGAAGCCAGAGGCCTCTCTCATACCAGAGAAGTACTTTATCACTGAGCTATGTTCCCAGCCGTTTTAAGATTTTAAGAGTGTCCTTCTAAGTTGCTCAAACTTGCTGCAATGTTGTAATCTTCTTGCTGAAGCTTTTTGAGTAGTTGGGATTATAGAAGTCCAACACCATCTGGCTCACATTTGTGAAAATTAGTTTATCCATAGGTTGCATTTGGGTTGCTTCCATCTCTTTAACTGTTGCAGGTTATCTGCCTTGTTCAGCTGAGTTGACATTTGTTCTAATGGTACAAAAGCACTGTGGGATAAAACTTCTGGTGCCTTAAATAAATGGAGAGAGAAGCCCCAAATTAAGAGTTATTACTATATTCTTCATTGTCACATAGTTTTAATGGGGACAAAAAGTAGCTGGTTCTACTTCATGTCTTTTGTGATGAGATGGAAAGTATGCCTGAAGTGCTCAGGTACATACTAAAGTTATGTTGAGGAAAAGTGCTTCCACAGTTGAGCTATGAGCTAAATCTAGCTGCTTTTATCGTGGGGCAATATTTTTTACTTGAAAAAAGGACTGCCAGAAAAGCTAGTTTTTAGACATGGGTAGCTGATGGACATTGTTTTGAAAATGAAAGTAAATGTGTTATGGCAAAGAAAATGATTGTTACCAGGGATAAAATCCGAGCTTCCACGTGGAAATTAGAATTTCGGAAAGCTTGTCCTTGCAGCTGTGAATCTGATAACTTTCCAGTGCTTAGAAGACTTCACTGGTATAATGAGGTGGGCTTTTTTTTGTTTGTTTGCTGGTTTTGTTTTTAGAATGAAATGTGTCAGTGTTAGGGAGATTTACATAATTCAGTGAATCAGTATTTCCAACTTATGATTTTATAAAATTATGTTTAGGTAAGGCCATTCAGAAGTACAATATAGCCAGGCACAGTGGCACATATCTGTAATCCCAGCGCGGGGAGGCTGAAACGGGAGGATTGGCACAAGTTAGAGGACAGCCGGGCTACGTAGTGAGTTTGCAGCCAGTCTGAACTACATAGCAAGACCTTGTCTCCAAAAAGGAAAGTACAAGATGGGCACAGTGTCCTCACCTATAATCTAGCTACTTGAGAGGTTGAGGTAGGAGGATTGGAAGTTTGAGGTCAACAAGGGCAGCTTAGTGAAATCCTGTCTCAAAATAAAATTTTGGAAAGGATCCAGATGTGTAGCTCAGTGGTGTGTACAGCCCCAGGTTAAATGAGCACTGGCTTGAAAAGTTCCTAGTGTTTTAAAATTTTGAGACAGTGTCTCACTAATTCACTGAGTTGCATGGCTAGTCTTGAACTTTTGATCTTCCTGTCTTAGTGTACACCACACACCCGGCAAAAATACAGCGCTGTATATAAATATATTATGTTAATAGATAAAGAATTTATTGTTTCAGCTAAATCAATAATAGTTAAAAATCTTGTTTATTTTGTAATATGCTAAATATAGATAGGCAGAACCCATGTACTCAAACGCCCTTTGGATTCGGTAATTTTTAAAACTATAAAGGAGTTAAGCTGTGAAGCACAAAGTTTGAGACCCATGGCACTAGGAAATAATTATTCAATAAGCAGGAAGGGATGGGAGCTAGAATCTTGTCAAAGAAGAGTAGAAAGGGATGATTTTTCAGAGATGCAAACAGGGAAAGATCTAAGAGTGCTGTGATAGGAAATGAAAAGCCCTCTTTTTTTTTTTTTTTAAACTTTTTATCGGTACCAGGGATCGAACTCAAGACTGCCTGCTTGCAAGGCAGGCCGCTGAGCTAAATCCCCAGCCCTGAAAAGCCCTCTTTGAGCTTGCTTGTTTTTGTTTATTTAAATTTGTCAGTATTTGTAAGAATTCTGTAGCTTGAACACACTTCTGTCAGCTTTCTTATGATAGCAGTGAGCTGTTACGAATTGATTGGTGAATTCTGAACCCACGTCAGCCCAGTAACTTGATTACAGTGCGTGAGTACATGGTGAAGCAAAATCTCCAGGAATGTGAACTTTTCTAATTTCACAGATTTTTGCCACCTACTTGATTTCCCTTAACTTCCTTCCATTTCACATCCAGAAAAACAAAAATTCTATATACCCTACCTTATGCAATAATTTATGGCATTATGTTGAAGGATAAATGTATGGCCTTTTTTGTTTTTAAAAAATGCATTTGCATTGTTGAGTAGGATAGGCATTCAGTTCTACTTCTTCATTTCAGAACTATTTCTTAATGCTCTTCTTTTCATGAAGCTTGCTTTTCTGTCTAAAGCAAGAAACTCAGCAGTCTGCATAGCAATGTGAAGTCATGAATAAACATAATAGGCTAGATTGGTTTGAGGACTGTAACCTGTGATTTAGTGTTCTGATTGGATATGGACTTACAAGAAGCTAATATGAAGTATCTTTACTTCAAGGCTCTTTACTTGCATGGGCTCCTTTTGTATTTTAACAATGCAGTTTTTTTTTTTTTTTTTTTTTTTTTTTTAGGTTTTGCAAATCACATTAGCTTCACGGTGAGCTTCTCGGAGATCTAGGACTTAACTCTAATGAAAATGTTGGATGAGCAGATGGATTTGAGAATTTAGCTATAATACTTGAAAAAACTCACAACATACTTTTCAGAGAATTTATACAGACAATTATTATCCCATTCTATAGTAATACTTATTCAAATCTCAAGGAATTTAGATGATGAAATTATCGTCATATGATGAAGTTCTGTCCTCTTTCTGGTTCTGACAAATTTTGATGTTAAAATCTTGATGTTAAAAAAAAATCTTGATGCTCAGGAGCATTCACCAACTTTTAGCCTTCTTTCTTTCTAGACTTTTCCTTAAGAGTCTCATGTTTGCCCATCTAATGTTTATCTTAGTAGTAGTTATGGTAGCACAGAACTACTTAACTCACTGACTTACATTCTCTTTCTAAGGCTAAGTAACTTTTTTTCTTTTCTTTCTTTCTTTCTTTTTTTTTTGTTTTTGGTGCCAGGGATGGAAAATGGAACCCTGGGCCTTGCATGTGCCACCAAACACTGTGCCACTGACCTGTACCCTAGCAGTCAGTCTTTAACTCTCCTTGTTTTACAGATAAAGAAACTGAGAGAAGTTAAGAAACTTGCTGAGACTCAGTCCTTGATGTATTTGATGGTAGCACCTTCACTTGTTTCATCGTCCAACCATATGTATATGAGTGAAGTTCTGAAATAAAAATCCAACACAAAATACTAATGTCTTAGGGCTTAGAAGCATTTTTTTCTTTGAATAGTGTAGTGTTTTATTTTTAAGGGTGATAGATACATTGCTATGTGTTTTATTGTTATTCTTTACATTTTATACCTATTTTATAAGTATTTTTATATCTACAAAATATTTTATTTCCTTCTTTAGTGGTAGGATCAAACTCAGGACCTCATAAATGTTAGACAAATGCTTTGTCACTGAATTTCATCTTCAGGCGATACAAAATATTCTCAAAGATTACAGAAAAGAAATACATTCTTACATGTTTTTTTTGTTTTGTTTTGTTTTGGTTTGGATGCTGGGATCAAACCCATGACCCGCATGCTTGCAAGGCAGGTGCTCATGCTGCTGAGCTAAATCCCCAGCCCCAAGATTCTTATTAATGCAATTCTACAGTAAAGTATGGAACAACCTTGCCCCTCAAATACAAATTAAAAATACCACTCAGACACTCACTTAACGTGGCAGTCATTACATAGTGTTGTTTATAATTATGTATAGAGAGGACAGATAAATAAAAAATAAATGATTATCGTAGTCTGGTGTGACAAACTACAGAGAACTTGGTGGCTTATCACAGCATAGCCCAGCAGTTTAGTCAAACTCATAAACTCTTCGACACTTGATAAAAGATTAGCCCAGCCATTTTCAAAACTGCCCCAAACTTAGGCAAGTCTTTTTTTTTTTTTTTATCTGCTTGCATTGGTCTTTAGTCAGGCCAACCAGCTGTTGCTCCATGTACAGCGCTAAATATGGCCAATGTGTTTTGTTTTTCCTTCATTAAGACTTCATGAAGACTACATGTGCTTGACACATATACACAGGAAAGACTCATGAACCAATGAAATAAATGATAATACCTTTTATTCACCTGCCTGATTTCTCTTTTTTGCTTGGTTTAGGTATTTGGCTCGGGTAGGGGAGCTTGAAGCTACTGACACTGAAGACCCAAATCTAAATTATGGACTTGTGATAGACTGTGGTAGCAGTGGCTCCAGGATTTTTGTGTATTTCTGGCCAAGACATAATGGGAACCCTCATGACTTGCTGGACATCAAACAGATGAGAGACCGCAACAGCCAACCTGTGGTTAAAAAAATCAAACCAGGTACTAATAAGAACTCACGGTATTTTGTTGCTCTTTTTGTCTGCTAAAGAATGAGAGAGGATAGGAAAAAGGGGGGAGAAAGATAGCTACCCTTTTCTTTGTGGAAGTCCAGGGTGTAGAAGGATATGTTTGATTTCCCATTGCTGGAACAAAATACCTAACCCCTGCAATTTCAAGATGGAGAGATTTATTCTTGCTCACGATTTGAGTGAGTTCAGTCTATGCCCAGTTGTCTCCAAGGCATTAACAACATGGTAAAGAAGGATGGTGGGGAAAAGCAGCTCACAGCATGGTGACCAGAAGCAGAGGGAGGAGGGAGGATTTGGGAATGAAAATATATACCCTTCCAGTTCATGCCCCTAGTGATCATTCACCTGTTGTGATCAGGCCCAAACTAAGACTTCTGGGGACATTTTAGAGCTAAACCATAACAGAATGGCATCCTATTCATTGTCTCCCACTCCTCTCAAGTAAATTAATGTGTAGGACCTTAAGTAGAACCTATGGAGTATCAGTTTTCTGAATTGGAGCGAAGTTCTGAAAAAATCCCACACAAAATACTAATATTGTGGGGCTTAGAAGCATTTTTTTGTTTGAATAGTGTAGAGCTTCATTTTTAAGGGTGAAGGGTACATTGTCATATGATCTGCTTTTAAAAGAAAATATTTTATTTTACTTAAGGAATCTCTGCAATGGCAGACACTCCAGAACATGCCAGCGATTACCTTCGTCCTCTGCTGAGCTTTGCTGCTGCCCACGTACCTGTGAAGAAGCACAAGGAGACACCCCTTTATATCCTCTGCACCGCAGGCATGAGGCTCCTTCCTGAGAGGTGCCATGCAGGGTCTGGGAAGCAGGAAAATGGGTGTACAAGAGTTGAAACATTGAGTGTGCTTCACCCCCTGGTTCCCTAGTCTCAAGATAGATGTGTACTCTATGCAGAGCTCACAGGTAGCCCTAAAAAACTCCTTGCTCAGAAATAAGGCAAGAGGTAGCCCTATACCTGGTTGTTGTATAGTCAGTTGATTGTATTTCCATGTCATTTACTTCTTAGCTTGTAGTAATTTCACAGTTTGGATTGAGTTTTGGAAGTGATGGTGATTATATTGGAATTATGAAGCACCCAGAGAGAAGACATAATTACAGAAGTTAGTGAGAAGACCACTTGAAGATCTGGATATCTGCTAGGGCTCTCATGACAGCTTGGTTAGCAGCGCTGCTTTTTCTGTAACTCTTTTGGTCTTGGTGATAACTAGCGAGTCCCTCCTCTTGAAGCTACAGAAAGCTACAAACCAATTTTCTCAGTCTTAGCCAGGCTTTTCCATTTGACAACGTCTGTTCAGCCTGATGTCTTGCCAACTGCTTCTCTTTTCTACGTTAGGAAAAGAAAAGGAGATTGAGAAAGAGGAAAAGGAGGTTATATTTAGGTCAGGGCGCTCCTTCTTTGTGAATTTCCCCTTTGACACCTCTGAAATCCCACTGCATGGGATGGGAATGAACTTCCTGAGTTTGGTTTTCCATGATTTTTTTTTCTTAATGTGGTAGGAACATTTAACATGAGATCTACCCTCTTACAACATTTTAAACTGTATAATACACGTTAGCTCTGTGTACAGTGCTCTATAGCATATCTTAGAGCTAACTTATAATGCTTAGCTGAATCTTTATGCCTGTTATTTCTCTTAATATAATGAGCATAAGTGCCTTAAGGTCTGTCCATGTTACATATTTCAGGATTTACTGCTTTTTAATACTAAATAGTATTCCATTATATGTATATACATATAATGTGTACAGAAAATACATTATATATACATATAATGGAATATATTTTCTGTATCCATTCATCTGTGCATGAACATTTAGGCTGTTGCTACATATTGGCCAATGTGAATGGTGCTGCAGTGAACGTGAGTGTGTTTGAGATCCCAATTTTAATTCTTTTGAATAATTAACTAGAAGATCATGGTAATTCTTTTGAATAATTACCTAAAAGATCATGGTAGTTCTTTTTTAATTTTTTATCCCTGTGCTAGGGATTAAATCCAGAACCTCACATATGCTAAGCAGATGCTCTACAATTGAACTGTATTCCCAGACCTTCATTTAAAGTTTTTGAGGAATCTCTGCATTGTTTTCCATAGCTGCCATGTTGCGTTACATTCCTGCCAATAGTACACAAAGCTTCCAACTTCTCAGCAGTCTTGACAACACTTGTCTTTTGTTTTGTTTTTATATATTGGCCTTCCTGACAGGTGTGAGATATTATCTCACTGTGGTGTTGATTTGCATGTCCCGATGAGTCGTGACCTGGAGTATTTTCCCATGTACTGTACTAGTTGGCTGTTTGTCTTTGGAGAACTGTCAAGTGTTAAATCTGTAGCTCATTTTAAAATGAGGTTCTTGGAGGTATTTTTACTATTGAGTTGTAATAATTGCTTTTATATTTCAAAGAGTAACCCCTAGTCAGATATGGTTTGAGGATATTTTCTTCCATTCTGTAGTGTGCTTTTTCACTCTATTGATTGTTTCCTTTGCTGTGCAGAAGAGTCCCACATGCTTATTTTTTGCACATTTGGTGTTGTAATAATGAGGTCATTGCCAATCCTAACTTTGGAAGTTAGCCTCCAGGAATGTTCATAATGTCACAGGTACAGGCATTTCTTATTAGCTTAAATATTTCCCATTAGTAAACAGCAGCTCCCTCACATTTTAATTTTTATACATGGCCTTCTTTTCTTAAAATGGCAACATTATACGGCTATGGTGATATATGCCTGGCCTCTCCACACTCTAGGAGACTGAGGCAGAAGCATTGCAAATTCAAGCCCAGTGTAGGCACCTGAGTGACTTATCAAGACTCAGCCCCAAAATAAAAAGTAAAAAGAGCTGGCCTTTTCCGCTGTGAGTGCAAAGGTCCAAATAAATAAGAGAAAAAAAAAAACTATCAGCAATAATAAGAAAACCTAGCCTCATGCTTTCTACCACACATGCCAGACAGTATAACATGTATCAACACTTCTTTCAGTGGAATTCTTTCCTCCTGTTTAGACTCACAGCTCATGTTTTATTGTCTGGTTTGGTGTTGAGAAGCACATTATTTATATAACCATTTCTCAACAGGAAAGGCTTTCTAGTTCATTGTTAATTTCTTCACGTCTTGGTCTTTTAAAAATCTTCAGTTTGTGTTTACTTATTTTTAAAACCAAACAAAATATTATAGCTGCAACCTTAAATCATTAAAGGAAATCTTTAAAGCAAATCAATCAGGATGAACTTTACAACTTACTACTCAGTCAAAAACTATTTTGTCTTTGGTTCCTTCTCACTGTACGTGTATGTGTATATGCAGTGTCTGTGAAGTTGTAATCATATGGCAGATACAGTTTATTTAGCATTTTTATTTTTGACATTGGTAATATTCACATCACTTAAAAATTTTTGGAAACCTGGGAAGAGTATATGACTCGAGGGGATGCCACATCACAAGCTGTGAATGGATGAAGGTGTCACCACCAAGGAATGGAGAGGAAGGCCAGAGAAAACCTAATTTAGAGATCAAAAAGGCAGTTCAAGGCTGCAGGTAGAGGAGCCTGGGGCAGTGACGTGGGTATCTTTTGTGTGTCTGGAGCAAAGGAAGAGATTGCCTCATCTCTTGGCACTGCCCAGCATTGCCTCTGTTTGTTAAAATTTATATCAAACCCAAATCAGCTGTGTAGCCCTACTTCCTCTGTCTGTGATGTTAACTATTAGATTAGAAGCTCTGAATATTAATATTTATTTTATCTTAAGAATTTTAAAGGGGTTTTGCCTTTTTTTGTTTTCTGATCACCTCTCTCAATAATGTACATTTCAGGTCTGGGCTTCATGAAATCCCTGCTGCCTCTAAGGCCAAGCTAGTTGTGACTGTCACTGTAAGAAACTGACTTACATTAGCATTTATGAGTAGTGTTCATATGGGGTTGAATCTCCGGGACTGTATTTTGAATGTATTAGAACTTGGTTTTATTTTGTTTGTCAGTGATTGAACAGAACTTTTTTATGCTTCCCTCGTATTTTGTAGTGGAAATTCCCTTTAAAAAATTACATAGGCAGCTGGATGTGGTGGCACATGCCTGTAATTTTAGCTACTTGGGAGGCTGAGGCAAGAGGACTTCAATTTTGAGGCCAACCTGGGCAATTAGTGAGATTTTTGTCTCAAAATAAAATAAAAAAGGGTTGGGAGTATAGCTCAGGGGTAGAGTGTTGCTTAGCATGTGGAACTTCTGCCATTACACGTTTTTAAAATAAAGAAACAACACTGACTTTTATAGAATGAAAGTTTTGTCCTATTCTGTACAGTGTGTGGTGAAGTTTTTGTTTTTAAGTGGGATCACATTATACATACTATTTTGTAACTTTGTAGTCCTCCACAAAATAATATTAAACGCTTTTATGTAAATAGAACTAGATATAAATTCAACTCATTTCTTTTAACAACTATGAATATTACGTTGTGTGATTGTACTATAAATATCAGTCCCAAACTTTCAGTTTGTTGTTGATTTTTCTTTTCCTTTTTAAAATTTTTTTGAGACAGGGTCTTATCATGTATCTTAGGCTGGCCTTGAACTTATCAGTCTTCTGCCTCAGCCTCTGAAGTGCTGGGATCACAAGTGTGCACCACCCTGCTTGGCATGGTCATTATTATAAATAAATTGTGCTGTAATATTCTCTTCATTCCTTGGAATGAATTTTTTAAAGTATAGTCACTGGATCAAAGATAAGTATGTTTAAAAATTTGGAACAAGTGCTGAGGTGCTCTTTAGAAAGGTGGTATTGGTAATTTATGTTCCAAATAGCAATGTAGGTTGGTGCCCAAAAGTTCTTCCATATCGTCATCAAACCCAGCAAGCCCCACTGTGGGTGGTTTAGAAGCATCTCCAGTAGAGAGAAAAGAATAGCGCACCTTGTTTCCCATGTGAAAATCTTATAAGAATTGAATACATATAACAAAGAACTTTTACAAGAAACAGTGCTTGGCATTGTGCTGACAATTATTACCTTAGTGTGATTCTGCTTACTAAGTCATGCTGACAATTATCTGAGCCAGTAGCCAAATCTATTTTTTCTAGCTTCATATTATTATTTCCTGCTTTGTTTCTTTGTGTTTCTTTGCCTGATAATACTGATAACATACTTAAGACTTTAAAAGGAAAAACAATCCATGGATACAAAGTTTCAGAAATCATCCCCAAATTGGAAATACTGTATTATGAATTTTAGATTTTGAGCCTGATCTGGATTTTTCAAATGATTAGATTTTACAGAGAACAAAAAAACCCTTGAAATATGAAAAAGGACATTAAAATTAATGCCGAGGCAAAGAATTATATAAAAACTTATGGAACTAACTGTACTTCTTAGATGGTAATGTGAGGTATTGTTTCTGCATTATTTAAGATTGAGGATGAGATTGTGTTCCCTAATTTACATTTTCTTTAATACTAATTAAGAATAATGTAATTTATTTATTTTATAATTGTGAAATTATGATACAGTTTCTTGTGGTTTATTATCACTCTCTAAGCATCTTTTAATACTGTTTGAGTTATAACATTATCTAAGGGAAAAGGATACTATGAGTATATTGCTCATATGTTGGAAACTGTCTTTGGGAAGTAGTTTAAGCCTCTGAAATCAAAGGAGGTAGCTGGACCTCTTGGCATCTACCTGTAATCTCAGTAGTGTGAGAGGCCAAGGCAGGAGGATGGCAATTTTGAGCACATTCTGGTCAATTTAGTGACTTAGTGAGATCCTGTTTCAAAATAAAAAAGATTTAGAAAGGCTGAAGATATAGCCCTTGGGTTTAATCCCTAATTTCTTTTGGGAAAAGAAAAAAACTACCAAAAAGAAGCAAGGCTGGGCATGTTGGTAGGGTGGATGAACAGTAATGACGTCATAACAAGACTAAATGAAAGGACACTTATTTGAGGCCGTTTGCAAGGAGCGACTTTCTTATTTTGCTTTTTAAAAGATGGCATTTTTTGTGTTGCCAGGCTGGCAGAGAAGTGAGGACCACAGGCCTGCTGCGTTATACCAGGTAAGAAGAGAGTTAATGGAATAACTTTTGGATTCTTCTTTTTTTGCAGGAAGCAGTTGGCTATCTTGGCTGACCTAGTAAAGGATTTGCCACTGGAGTTTGATTTCCTCTTTTCTCAGTCTCAAGCCGAAGTGATCTCTGGGAAGCAAGAAGGTACTGGGTCTTGAGGGGTGCAGCAGGGTCATTTTTCGGCCATTCACTATTTACCTTAGTTATTGCATGTTTAGAACTAGAAAGGGAAACTTTAACACACACACACACACACACACACACACACACACACACACACACACACACACCAAAAAAAACAAAGCAAGCAAGCAAGCAAACAAACAAACCCAAAAGCACTCTCAACCTTTTTCTGCTCTTTGGACCAGAAAGTAATGTCTTGAAGTTATTAATACCCATACCTGATGCCTGCTTTCCTATTCCAAGTTGCTTTTGAGTCTAGGCCAAGAAACATTTAGTGGGGGAAAAAATGAGAGACTTGCTGCTGGGTTGGGGGTAAATTCTGGCTTCTTTCTCAATGTGCTCTGTATCTTTCACTTCCAGAGTTCTCACAAAGCTATTGCATGCATTCTGTGTAGAATTTCTCTTTGTACCAAATAGTGAGACAAGATGGAATGTATTTCTTCTACCTTGCCAGAAGTAGAGCTCAAGGATTTACATTTTTTAACATCAGTTTTTATAGTTATTCATTGCTATAAAAAAGGAAATTTGGAAGATGCAAGTAATTTTTTAGGAAATTTGGAAGTTGCAAATAATTTTTTTTTAAACTTAAAGATTGGATCTTTTTCATTCTAGGCTTTAACTAGCTTTATAGCTCAAGCTGGCCTTATCCTCACAGTCCCTTCTGTCTTAGCCTCTTGAGCAAATAGTTTTAAAAGTGGGGAGGAATTACAAGATAAAAGACTTAAAATCTATACACGGCAAGTATAGAATAGAATGCAGTGTTATGACTATTTTCCCTAAGAAAAGGGAAGAGAATAGCCCTAGGAAGAGATGTACACACAGTGTAGCAGTGGAGAATTAAGTGAGGCTTTTTATATCTTCTTCTTAGGGGTTTATGCATGGATTGGTATCAACTTTGTTTTGGGAAGATTCGACCACGAGGATGGTGAGTAATACTATTTTATGATAATTCTCTAAGGGCCTGCGGTCTAAGTCATAATCTTTCTGTAGTGTATAAGTGATAATTTGGAGTTGTTTCTCTGTCAGTCTTGTGTGTGGGAATTGAACCCAGGGCCTTTATACATTCTCAGGCCTTTACTTTTTTTTTTTTAATTTTGTGGCAGGGCCTGTTATTTTACTGAGTTGCTCAGGTTGGGCTTGATTTTCTCTTGCCTCAGCCTCCCTTAGTGTCAGAATTACAGGCATGTACTACCATGCCCAACTGTTTTTCTTTCTTAAAGTTTAAGCTGCTTCAAAACACACACACACAAGTAGACCACCTCATTTTATAGTCCTAATTTGCTTTCTTTTGTTTCATTTTAACTTTTTCATATGTACAAACATTTATAAAAGTAGAATAATAAAATGAACTTTCCTGAACTGATTACCTAGACTTAACACTCAAGGTTTTGACATTTTTTATTTCCATATTTCCTCCACAAAATATGTTTTCCTCTGTATTTTTTAAATACAAATACCATATGTTTCATTTCATATTCAGACTAGTGTCTATCTCTAACAGATATTTACAAAACAAAACAGTGACACAAGAACCCAAAATGCCATTCTGAAATTAACAGAATTAACAATTCCTGATTTTGTACAGTACAGTATCTTCTAATACCCAAATAGAGATTTTACTAATGTTTCTCGAGAATATTTCTTTGTAGTTGGCTTATTTCAAATTAGAATGTGAACTAGGGTCCATATTGCATTTTCTTGATTTATTTCTTTAGACTCTTAATTTTTGACAAGAATCTTACCACCCAACTCTTGTACTTTTTTGCAAACCATTCATTAGAAATAAAAAAGCCAAACCAAGTCATTTAATAGAATGAATTTGCTACCTTTTGAAATTGGTCTTCTGAAGTGGTAGTGAACTTACGGCACATGTGCCGTAGTGGATACACAGAACCCTCTCTGTGCAGCCCAGCATGAGATAACACTTATTTTTTATAAAATAAAACCTCACTATTCAGGTTTAATTGCAGTGTTGGCACTTTGCAATAGATAAGTGGGTTTTGGGTTGCAGTTTGGGCACTCAGTTTCTCAAAGATTACCATCACCAGTCTACTGCATCTTTGTGGGATCTTTGACAGTACCCTGATTCTCACTGTGTCCTCTATGCTAGAGGTCAGATCTAGATTGACTAGGTTGAGATTCAGTTTCATCTGTAAGGTGATGCTGTGTGTTTCCTGCTGCCTCATGTCAGGAGTTTCATCATATATGGTTGCCTCACTTTTAGTCATGTTCAAACTGATGAAGGGAAGGTTCAGGTATTATTGGCCTGATCTAATCTGTTATAAAAATTCCTCACCCACCATTCACCTGATGATTGTCAGGGCCAATTGTGATCATTACTTAGATATGTGTTTGCATTAGAGGTTGTAAAATAGGGATTTTTTTCCCTACCATTCCTTCTGTATTTAATAGCTGGGATTTTATATATTGAAGGTCATGTCTTCAGCTCTTTTGGTTATCTTGAAATACAGTTCTTATGAGAAAAACAGGATAAATCCTTATTATTTTCCTTTATTTATTAAGCTTTTAAACAATTTCTTGGTGTCCTAGCACTTTTCAAAGATAAACAGTGAACTTTTTTAAAACCTCCATGAACTAATGCATTTTAATATATTTGATGCTCAGGGCCCATCACACTGAGGCTAGAGGTCTAGCTCAGTACCTGTCTAGTGTGTAGGAGGCCTGGGGTTCATTAAACCCCCAGGATGGGGCAAGGGTAGGGGAGGTCATCGTATCTTTAGGAGTGCCCAACACTTTTGTTATTTCTTCTGCTATCTGACGTACCAAGGTATTCCATCCTCATCTTGGATACTTTTCTACCTCAGACCTGGCATTGGCCATTATTTTTTAAGAAAGTCTGGTTTATTTTAATGAAAAATAATATGTAAAGACTGGTATAGATTCCAGGGGTGCTTATTTCTTCCTATCAGTTTTTAATTTTTTCAGTGATCAGAGGAAGGGTAACACGATTTTTTTAGGAAGGAGAAAAGTGAATCATGATACTGATACTTCCAAATTCCAGTATTTACGATTATGAAGTTTTATTTCATGTCTTTGATTTTATACCTGTATCTTTTTCTTTTATGCTTATCTTTGTTCCTAAAGATAGTTATATAAGCTGGGGGTATAGCTTAGTGGTAAAGTGCTTGCTTAACTTGCTCAAGGCCCTGGGTTTAATCCTGGCACCAAAAAAAAAAATTAATGTGTATGTTTAATTTTAAAATAATGCCAATAATATTATACTACTAGAATGCAATTTAAAATATTTGGGTTTTTTAAATTTTTAGGATATAATTTTCTATGAATACACAGCCAAAATATGTTTAAGTCACTTGAAAGAATTCTCTGTAATATAGTCAGTAGCTTTAGATGAACTTGTTTTAGTTTGCTTCCACATTTGTAAGGGATTGCTGTTTGTTTTGAAAGGGGAGGGCTTTTCTTTTTGCCTTTGGTTTTTACTCACTAGGGCCTTCTGCTTCCTTATCATTTCAGAATCGGGTGCTGAGAGTCCGCAGGAATCAGGCATAGGACGCCGCAGGACAGTAGGGATACTGGATATGGGAGGAGCCTCTCTCCAGATTGCTTATGAAGTTCCTACCTCAACCTCTGTCCTTCCCCCCAAACAGGTGTTTTGCTGTTTATGGAAGTTGTCAGAAATAACAGTATTGTGAAAAGGAAGAGCATTGTCTTTGGACAGAAAGCAGCCTATGTGGGTCCAGATATTTGTTTAGATGCTTGCTTGTGTTATTTTGAGTTGCTTCTCTGAGCCTTAGTGTCCTCATGTGTAAAAAAGATATAATGATAGTTCTGCCTTATAGAGTTGTAAAGAGGAGGTAATACCATGTGTGTGAAGCATTTAGCAAACAGGCTAGTTGGTAAGTATTTGATATGTTTTGGCTGTTACAACTAAAACTCCATATCTTCCATGGTTACCAGAGGAGTAAACATAACATGTGTAAGTCCTGGAGCGCAGTATTTGACATATACCTTTTGTCCCATAAATGGTATTTCTTTTCCCTTACTAATAACTCAATTTCGGTGCCTCTAATGTTCCTTATTGTACCAGAATGTGAGGATGTATTTTGAGGGAGAAGTTTCAGCATAGAGAGGAGAAAAATGCAGTTTTTATAATTGAGTATCTACTATGTGCAAGAAATATGAGAAGTTAGTTATACTGCTCTCCCAAATTTATAATCTGTCAGTGGAGGTAGACTATGACAGTGCTGTAATTTGATCCAAACCAGGGTTTCTCATCCTTGGCATTGCTGACGTTTTGGACTGTATAATTCTTAGTCTTGGGTTGTTGTGTGGCATATGATGTTTAGCAGCATCCCTAGCTTTTACCAAATGCCAATGATAACCCTGCCCATTCCATTTTTGACAGTCACCTGTGTCTTCAGAAAGTGTTAAATGTACACCTGAGGTAGGGAGAACTGGTTGACACTCTGCAGTTTAAATAGAGAGCTTTCACAGTGTGGCAGCAAGCAAGGTCAGCCTCATTTGCAAAGGTTTGCATGGAAGCCATTGATCTCATGAAAGATGAGGGATTTTCCTGGGCTTAGATGACAGCAGGTTTCACACAGTGGAGGTTGAAGGAAAACATCTGCACGAATGGAACAGTGCACAAAGGGACAGGAAGCAGCAAAGAACCCAGAATGCCAAGCGATGATGAATAGCCTGTTGCAGTATAAAGTTTTTAGGTATGGTAATGAAAGATAAGTGGAAGTAGATTCATGAAGAGTCTTGCATGTCATCCTGTGGGGCTTGTTTTTTATTTCTGTAGATAGCAGGGAACTAGCAAAGGTTTTGAGTAGGGAAGTCATATGTTTCAACTCCATCATGAAACAAATTCTGAAGGTCCTTTCCATCTCTTAAGTTTTGTGACCATGTTGGCTATGTTCTGATGCTTTTTAGTCAAATAATTCGGTGTATGTAGGAGAAAGAAATGTAGGGCAGGGAGTCTTAAATGAGAAGTGGTAAGAAGTTGAACAAGACCATGTAAGTAGAAATGGAAAAGAGGAGACAGAATTCAAGAAATGTTTTGGAGTAAAAAACCAATGCGATTGTAATTGAGTGACTGGTTGTGGTGTATAATGGCCAGTGATGCTGACAGTCCAGGAAGGGTACCTGGGAGGGTAAGGAACTAGGATGCTGAGAGAAGACACAGGGGAAAGGGCAGAGTTCATGCTAAGTAAACAGTAAGGTCCTTTGAGGTTTGGGTGAGAACATCTATTGGTCTCCTACCTCTGAAGTCTTAAAACTAATGAGTTCAATTTGGGTATGTTGAATGAAGAATGTGTATGTAAGAATTTCACAGAACTGTTGGCAATATAATTTGGCAATCAACAGAGATCTCCGTGGTCGGGTTGAAGACTCTGGGAACTTTTTAGTCTCTACTTGTTAGTACATTCCCCCATAGATGAGTGAAGGTATAGTTCTGTTTCTTTTTTTTTTTTTTTTTATTTAAAGAAAAGGAAACGAAAAAAAAATATATAAAAAAAATACATGGAGATTAAAGAATAAAAGGGTAGAAAAATAATACTAAATTATAGACAAACAAAAGGTAATAAATTGCCAGTTGATAAGTTACAAATTGTCTTCTTCGAAATGGCTGTTTAGGTTATAGAATTAAAGTATTTAGAATGACATTCAAAAAAGTGACCCTACAAACCATTCTGCTCTATGGCCGAACAAAAGCTCCGTAATATGATTATCAGTCCCACCTATTTGTTTTACATCTCTAAGAGGATAAGGTTAACCATATCAAAACAGAACAGAACATTTAAAAAAAAAATAAAAAACTATTTAAAGAAATACAGATTTCAAAGCAAGTCCACTGGAGATCTACCTTATCTAACTGTCTCTAGCTTCTTACAGATAGTTGTCCCTAACTTCACCCACTTTCTATACTTATTGCATATTATAGAACTAATCAAATCATTACAGGATGATGGAGTCTTTTTAGGTCCTCAAGTTCCAAATTAGGGAAGACATTTCCAACTACCATCGCATCTCTCATTCTCTTTGTGATAGCCGTCCCCATCTCTGCATATGCTGAAGTTGAGCTGAAGAAACCAGTCCAGAGTCATTTTAATCAGCAAGCAATAGGTTGCTAGAATTTATATTATAATGCTACAAAATAAGCCTCGGGTTTTTCAGGTCTCTTCCTCAGAGTATTTGTTCCTATCCTCTCTGTATTATAGGGAAAACCAATTCATAACAAGACAGCGAAACAATTTCCTAGATAAACATGCAATGGATAAGACTTACAAAACTATAATATAAATGATCTTCCGTAGCTACTATGTTTTCTCTTGTTATTTTCAATAGATTTGTCGACAACACTGGCTTATTATAGTTAAATATACTATCACCTATTTTTATAAAAACTTATCTTTGACTGCATTGTAGTATTTGAGAACTGTTACTGATTCATACCAGTATGGATATCCTTTACATCCTGTCATGCTCAGAGTAGTTTCCTCTACTTTTAGGGTTGATTCTAACACGCATACGGATTTCAAATAGGATCAGTCAAGGCCAACCAATAGTCTTATGATTCAGATACAATTAAGATCAGTCATAGTAAGACAATGTAAGTAATACAGGGTTTCAGCTTAAGTCAATAGGAAAGTAAGGATGGTTACCATGGTATAACCTGCTATTTTTGGTTCTAGAGGTCTGTGTCTTCAAATCTGATATGAGTAGACAGACCAGAACAAATTTAATTCAATCTAAATATGGCACTAGGACTACTGTGTCTTTTAAATCGTTATACACCATTAGCAATGACCTCTGCTTTTTTTTTTTTTTTTTTTTTAAATATAGTTTCAGAGCTGTCTCTACCAAAGACTAGCTTACCGTCTCTGCCTCATGTCTGCTACTCCACTTTTCTGCTATAATTTGTCCACCTTATTCCCTCATTCCATGGTCTGCCCCGTACACTGAGGCCTCTCTGCCACTGTAGCTGTAATCCTGATATTTCTTCCTCTCTTTCTCTGTAATGTCCTTCAGCGCTCTGTAGGGTTGGATTGGTGGCCACGAACTCCCACAGTTCCTCCTTGTCTTGAAAGTATCTTATTTCTTCATTAATTTTTAGAGAGAGTTTTGATGGATATATGAGCTTAGGTTGCATATTTTTTTCCTTCAGGACTTGGAATATTTCTCCCCACTCCCTTCTTGACTTAAGAGTTTGTGTTGATAAGTCTGCCGTTATTTTGATAGATTTCCCGTTATAGGTAACCTGCATCTTTTCTCTGGCTACTTTTAATATTCTGTTTTTTTGGTGGATTTCTGGGATCTCGATTATTATATGCCTAGGCGTAGATCTGTTTTGGTTGTAGGTAGCTGGCGTTCTGTATGCTTCTTTTATCTGGATATCATTTCTTTTTGCTATACATGGGAAATTTTGCTTTAATATCTCTGTGAATATTTTTTGTATTTCATTTTTGGATGTTCCTGCTTCCTCACTCACATTCTTTATTCTTAGGTTATGCATCTTTTTATCATCTTCCAGTTTTAGAATTGCTTCTTTCTGGTTCCTTGTTATTTTTAAGAGGCTTTTTCTTTCACGTTCATAAGCCCTAAATCTCTCTTCAAGTTTCAGAAGGTTGTCTTTAGTTTCTGTCAAGGCATTTTGCCAATATTCAATGGAGTTTTTAATTTCCTGATTTTCTCTTTGGATCTGTTTCATGTATTCTAAGTTATGCTTAAATTCTTCAGATGCTTCTCTTTCTTTTCTGATTTCCTCAGTTCTTCCATCTGTGTTCTCTTGGGCAGGGCTTGTCATTTCTTTAATTAATCTCTTTATATCTTGCCTCACTTGGATCAGGAGTACATCTTTAAATTCCTCTATGAGATCATGTAAATACTTTTTAATTTCGGCTGATGCTGAGTCGAGCAATGGATGGTTACTGTGCTTGTTCTCTTCAGTGTTTAGTTCTCTTGGGTTTAATTTCTCCTGTTGAACAGCTGGAGATTTTTTTTTATTTTTATCTCTTGTCATGTTTCTGGTTTCTTTCAGACTGTCCTGGAGTTCTCTGGCCCTCTCCGAATTGCTTAGGGCCTTTCAGAAGCGTGCCGGCTTGAGTTTTTGCTGTCCTCCCCAATTTGCTGTTATCTGGGGTAGGCTGGGATGCAGGGGCGGTACAGTCTAGTCTCTAGCCTCTGTGTCAGTTAGTTCATAAATTAGGCTGTACTTTCTGGTTGTCACTGAGTTGTGACCATTCTGCATCCGCCCATTGGGCCCCAAGCAGAGGCCTGATCTAGCCCCAACAGCTCCTGCCAGTTCTCCCTGAATCAGAAGCAGCTGGGTAATGGCACAGGATTCTGCCCAGGTCCCAGCCGTTCTCTTCCAAACCTCTCTGTGATAGGAGCTCTAGAAAAGCAGATCTGCCCAAAACCAAGATGGCTCCCACTAAGTTCTCCGTGCGGAGCTGAAGCCAGCAAGCAATCAGACTCTGCCAGGACTCAAGATGTCTCCCACCAGCCCTCCCTACAGGGGGTCCTGGTGATGTCACCAAGCTGCGATTTCTGCCGCCAGGCTAATATGTCTGCACCAGATTCTGTGTTATTGATTTCCCCGTGGTGGCGGGCCAGCTGTTCTCTGGCCAAACCCAGCCGCCGC